TGAGTTTAGACCGTAGCTACCTCATACGCGCTTTTGGTTCGAGAATAAAAGAGAGCGAGCGCGTACGTGCTTGGGTTTCTGAGAGAGTCTATAAATACACATTTATATATATATATATATATATATATATATATATATATATATATATATATTTTTTATATATATATATATATATATATATATATATATATATCCCAAATGAGCAAGAGAATATGTTTCAATGGTTACCTAAAACTTCAACTTGTTAACGTTTCCGCGTTTCGGAAACACTTCGTGTCGGAAACTCGAAGACACCTGCCGTCACCTTTAAAATACAAATGTTGCATTAGTTACTTGCTTTACTATTTTCCATATTTGCTTTTATCAAGAGAGTAACTACTAAAGAGAGTATAATTTGGAGGGCAATTTAGTCTTATTACATATTATTTCCTAAAATCAATACATATTTATTAGGTATCTTAATACATGTGTGCGAAAAACGTAATCGACAGCGCGAATACTATCGATGGTACAACGTAAGACATTTTATTAAATTTAACTTTAGGTTGACAAAAAATAGCCCTTTTACGATTTTAACCCTTAGGGTCATACAACCTAGCTGATCAAAATGACTAAAAAACCCCTACGTATTAAAATTACCTATGTGAAACTCCAGCAGAATCTACACAACCGTCAAGTAGCAAAACCGGCATCATTTTTGCCCTCCGAGTTTAGAGCCGTGCATTAATATTGTTGATACTCGTTGGACTCGCAAACGAGGCTTCTCCGACCAATTTGTGTATTTTTTTTATCACGGGTACCTTGAGTACAGAGGTAAGACAAAGACTGCACCCATGAAACCAGAGCCGGTTTACGTATAACGTCATCGGATTCCGCAATTTGTTGATAGAGTTGATTAAGAAGCATGTTTTGCCGGTTTTGAGGTAATTGTACCATTAGCTGCGCTAATGACTTCATCAAACTCGGTAGTACCTGCACCAACCACACCCTCGTTTTTACCAAAACCGAACACCAATATTATATTTAAATATATGAAATAAGAAAGTAGTTGCACCTGTATATCAACTAGGGCAAGTAGCCGTAAAAGAAGATCTAGAATCTTCTTAGAAGATTCCAACTCTCCTTCCCAATTCTTCCACAAAATCACTGTCGTCGACGCTGACTGTACTGCACATGCTACTGGCTTTCTCGACCAGACATTGAATGCAATAAAATATAGATGGACTACCTGCGGGGAGATGCCTAACGAGTGCAGTAACGCCAGAAGCCATCCCTTCAAACGGTGTAATCTCAGGATATCCCTGTAATAAATATTTAAAAATTTAACCAAATAACAGTCTTGAAATAATCGATCAACTCAGACAAGCATATATGGTTTTACGAGAATCAATACCTCTAACAACCTCTGTATGTAATAGAATACGAGCTGCTCTTTCAGTTCAGTTCTTTCTTCCGGGCAAGGATCTTTTCCGGATGACATGAAAGCTACAAATACGGAATGTGCATATCTTGCGACTTTCCCTTTCAGGTGTCCCGTATATCTAATAAGATGAATGTAAGGTAAACCAACTATAATAACTTTTAAAAAATAATCCACTCGTGTTGATTTTTCAAATATTCGATATTTAGTGAAACGAATAACGTAGGATACAGGAACATAGTGGGGGCCACGACCTTCTTGAACACAGAGGCGAGTAATCGATCAACACAAGTTGGAATTACACGCATATAAAATATTATACGAGTAGTCTGCACTTCGTCAGCTGACCAAAGATGCTCCGATTTTGGCAAGATAGAAGAACCTGCAAAACACGTATTTAGATTTAGATGGGAAGATAAAAAAGATCAGCGCATAGTCGAAGTTTTTACCGTACCGTCATTATTAATCAAATCATTGTAGGAAGGTATAGATTCCACGAACGCGATGCAAGCTGATTCGTTCTACTGAACGCTAATACATTTAAAGTTTATCGCAGGAAGAAATTTAAGAAACAATAGCTGAACACATTTGCTTCGTTATGGTTATAAGTGTAGTCTGGTGTATTTTCTTAAGTGTTTCAACGTATCTTAAGTCTTAAGTGTCTAGAAGTATCTAGGAGTCAGTCAAAGTTTTTGTAGATTGGTCAATCTCCTATGAGTCATTTATGAGAAGTTTGAGAGTCATAAGTTTGAAAGTCACTTGTCTAGAATTTCTTAGATATTGAAGGGTCATTTCTGCTACTATAAAATTATGTAAGTGCCATTAGGCCAAGCAATGAAGTTAAGAATAAAATTTCAGTTTCTAAAAGAAATCTGAGTCTTTTCTGTGAAAGAAATTTAGGCGTGAAGCCTCGGGTGTGAAGCCCCTGTAGTGATTCCAGATTCTTCTTTTATCCTACTCTTAGCCAATTACTCTGTATCCATCCCTCTCAGCCTTCTATTCTCACCCTATATGCACAGCCCTACCGGAATTAACATTCGCATTAGAACTGAATTAAACCCTACATTAGAGGATATAAGCACATGCATTGATTCACCCGACTTCTGAATTTCTAAGGAACACTCTACTGATTGGTTTTACTTGCTTCGTACTAAATTACCTACCTAAGTCCTTTTACTGTATTTGAGCATTGCATTCTTCTAATCTTCCTTATCGAAATTATTTTTTTATACGAGAACTCACGCAAATTAGTATAGTATTGCATCAATTTTGGCATCAGACCAGGTTCGACCTAAGGTTCGACCTAAGGTTACATTTGGAGTCAGGGTCTTATTATTTTATTTTATTTGTATCTAGTAGTTAATTGTCAAACCCCAGCACATATTTGCATTAAAAAAATAGAAATAAAAACAAATCGCATAAACAGGTTTCAGCAACTATGGACCAAGCACAGATTTCTCAAGTTTTGGAGCGTCTGTCCAATCAAATTGCCCAGATTGAGAACATAATGCAAGAGCAATCAACAAATTCTGAGCGCCGCTTTGCACAACTTGAAGCCGCAGTCCAGAATGATGATGATGAAAGCGTTGCCGGAGTACCGCGAATGCAAGCTAGAAGAAATGTGCGCAGGCCACATAATCCACGAAACAATGGTGCAGATGGTGCTGATTTGGTCCCACTCAAACTTTTTTCCACCCCTTAAAATCTTGAAGAAGGGGAGACCCCTGTCCGCCGACTGCGAAATAAATCTGTTCAAAGATGCCAAGCAGCCATTAAGCTGTTGGACTTTCTTGATTGATGTTGGTGGAGCCATGGAGGTGATGGCTTCGATTTTGGTGGGATAAGCTTCAATTCCTCGTTGTATCATATATCATAAAAAATTCCCTCTCCGAAATCCGAACAAACATTTGAGGGGGTTGAGTTTCATCTTGTATTTTCGTAGGATGGCAAAACATTGACCTAAATCGGCTATGTGGTCCGAGACCTTGATACTTTTTACGAGCATGTCGTCGATGTACACCTCCATATTCTTGCCGATTAGGTCTGCGAACATTGTGTTCACTAGATGTTGGTATGTAGCCCCCGCATTTTTTAACCCAAAAGGCATGACTTGGTAGCAGTAGATGCCTTGATCTGTGACGAAGCTGGCCCTCTCTTGATCTTCTAGGGCGAGCAAGATTTGATTGTATCCTTAATATTGTTAAGTGTATATTTTTACACTTTATTGTCCCTCTTTATTTGAGCTTTTGGTGTGTTTTAACGATAATTGGTGCTTAAAAAGTTGATTTATTATATTTTAGGCACAAATTGAAGAATTGGAAAAGTATGGGGTAAAACTGCAATTTTGGAGAAAATTTAAGTCAAAAGTGAAAACGTCAAAATTCTGAAGATTTAAAGCCCGGACGGCCGTCCGAGACCACGAGGCAGCGCAATAAAAGGATTTTAATTGCACAAGGAAACTGCCGTCTTCCCCAAGTTTTTCACCCTATATAAGACCAAGCCAAGCACACAATTGGGGATCGATCTTTACGCAATTTCAAGAGCAACAAAGCAATAACGAAGACGAAGAATTCAAATACTCCAAGCAAAGATTTATCGTTTACTATTTATTTTATTTGTATTTTTACTTCAATCATGAGTAGCTAATTTTCTTATTTCTAGGATTTTATTTTGAACCCTATGCGGGATTTATGAACCTTTTTCTATGATTTATGCAAGTTTTAATTCCGGATAATTTCTTCTACTTGTTTTATTAAGTTCATGAGACAGGCCACTTTATGCGCTTTTATGGTATTGTTAATCGCATGAATCGGAAGATCAGGTTAATAATTAGAACTGTGATAGAAGAGTCTCTGTGGTATTAACATAGGAATATAGTTAATCTCTTAGGTAGCCATTATTGAGATTTGTGTTTAATGCTATGTTCTAGAATTAATTGCCTAGGAATACAGTAATTGAATCTAAGCTATTAGAATCGTAATACACGCGGAAGGGGGTTATGATTAATTAAGCATCTCCGGTTAATAATTCGGGTTCATTACTTGCATAATTGAAGGAACTGGGGGAGTAATAATCACATAGGGGGAAGAATAATATCTTAGGCTTGCTTACCTTGATTAAATCTTCGTTTTAAATTTCTTTCTTGTTTTTGCTTGCCTTTTAATTTAGTTTAATTTAGTTAATTCTCTCTAAAGTCGACTGTGTGGGGTGGGCTTGATAATAATTGCTAGAATTTAGCGTCTTTGATTAAGTAATTTAATATTCCCTGTGGG